TTACCCGACCGTTATCCCATTCAACGTAGCTGTGACAACAGACACTGGACAAGCCTCGCCCTGAAGATACATCGCCCCTAAAGCTATAGGTACCTTAGAGCGTCCGCCCTTGGACCCCTTGGTCGTCTTGACGCCAGTAGAGTCCTCTTCATCGCGCTGCGCTTGCTCCACTTCGTCCAGCTTGGCCGAGAAGGCGTCCAGGTCTTCTTCCCAGAGGTTCTCGGGGGACTTTCGACGCAGCACTTCGAGTTCTCGCTTCTCGTCGCGCTTCTTGAGCAGGTCATCCTTCCTCTCCATAGTCAGACTCCAAAGCGGCATGCCCAGGAGGTAGTTGTAGTGCACGCTGCCACCGTCCTTGTCTCGCTCCTCATCCGGTTCTTCGGCTGCAACCGTTCAGTTTTTAAGAGGTTAGTTTTCAAAAAAATATAAAAAATAAAGGGGAATGGGGAGTCAAGGCTCATAGTTGCCCTGTTATTTAGGATAATCACGGTTCGCACGGAAGGATAAAACGGTAGGGTTTCAGTCACAGCGTCCAGAATTGTAAATGACGCATGAAATGTTTTTATCGAAACACCTACACTTGCGTTCCTTCAGATTTCAGCTTCATTAAGGACAGAGCTGCAGCTGTTGCCGAGAAATCTAGCTTCATTAGTACTCTTTGGCTGCTTAAGATGCTTCTGCAATCATTAGTATAGCTGCAAATGAGTTCTGCGGAAACCCGCAAGGTGCAGAAAGGGTTAGGAAAGGAAAAAGGCAACCACCCGTTTGTAGCACGAAGCCACAAAGCAATCCGTGCGGCTTTCTCCAAAAAAAAAAAACAGCCTCTTAGTTGCTGAAAACTTCGTCCTGGTCCGGAGTTCGAACCCGGAATCAGTGTATTTCCGGGGTGGTTGCACTGTCAATTGAGCTAACCAGGAAAGTAGCAATTGACCGCGAGAGGACGAATTCATCGACAACTCGAAGCACATGGACGCAAGTATTGCAAATGAGTTATGCGGAATTGAACGTTGCGGGAAGCTTAAGAAAGGTAAAATAGACAACCACCCGTTTGTAGCAAGATGGCTGCAACCCCGGGTTTGAACACCGGGTCAGAACGAATTTTTCGGCAACTAAGTTTTTTCTTTGAGAAATCCATGTGGATTTCCTTTTGGCTTCGTGCTACAAACAGGTGGTTGTCTTCTGTCCCTTTCATCAGTGTAACTACTCAGAACGTCATTTTTTTCTTCAAAAAAGAAGTTCAAGTACAAACTGACACTCGACGTAATGAGAAATCCTCGAACAACAAAATGTATACCTTGAGCCACCTTTCTACAAAGCGATCTTCATTTGGGACAGTACTGCAGCAATAACAGTAGCTGCGCTAAGAAATATGAGTACAAGTCTGCTAGAAAAGCATAGGCTTCACCAATGTTTTATGCTCGTCGATTTCTGGTTATAGTGTGTTCATATAGTTTTCGTCATGACATGTTTCAGTTCCAGTAAATATTCGTTGTTCAGACAGCCCTTCTCTAGTCTCATTATGCGTGCTGCATCTTAGGCAAACATGGAAGTCTGGCCAACGGCTGATTGCGCTTCAACGTGAGGTTCGAACCACGCAATTATAATATTGATAGTACCATAATATTATTATAATAATGATAATATAATATCGATAGTTTAATAATGATAATTTAATATTGATAATATAATAATGATAATATAATAATGATAATATAATAATGATAATAGATAACTAGATGATATGACGACGATGATGATGATGATGGTGGTGGTGGTGATGATGATGATGATGATGATGCCTAGAGCTTCATGTTTCAGAACGACGTTGTGATTGTGAGGGACGCCGTAGTGGAGGGCTTCATAAATTTCGATCATCTGGTGTTCCTTAACCTACACTGACATTACACAGTACCAGTGACATTGCACAGTGACATTGCAATTGTGAGTGCGTTCTGCAATTCTACCTCGTAGTCGTTTGTAGGATCGCCACAGAGGTCCGTAAAGGTTACGATCGGACAGCATGCCTCTCACGTTCACCTATACAGGGTGTTTCAAGAAATGCGTCCAAAAGTTTTTAAAAATCGCAGAAAGGAGGTATCTGAGTGTTACTTGTGGCATTGCCTATCCTGTGCAGAAGGCATCTTCAGATGCGTACAAACATTAATTAGGCAGTACTAATAGAAATTAGCTCGGTTATCGTTTTAACCAGAGGTGGTAGTCGGTCGAGTCAAATGGGTAGATTCAAGCCTTTCCTACGGATAGTCCATCGCCACTTTGAAATTTTGGAAAAGCGGTTACTGGTAATCACCGCGGAGCGATGCAATGAGCCTGATTTAGCTGGAGAAACCTAAACCAACCCACGAAACAGGGCATCTACCATTCACCTCGACAACGCCCTCAGTGACGTCACTTTTTCCCTCACTGTTATCAACCGTTAATTTTGACACTTCACTTCGAGGCCGCTTATTGACGCTCGCTTAATTCTCCTCCAATCTGAGGGAAACAGTGTCATAATTGATGGCGTTGGAGAAGTGAATATTAGATGTGCAGTTTGGGGCGCATGTTTTGGTTTCGCCAGCTAAATTGGCCATAATTCGCCACTCCACCGTGATTATATAATGTCAGCTTATCCCAAATATCGAAGTGGCTATGGACTCGTAGGAAAAGCTTGAATTACCCTGTTTCACTCGCCTGGCTATTACCACCGGTTAAAAACCTAATTGTGTTAATTTCTATATTTACTGCCGTAGTTAATGTTTGCACCCATCTCAAGATGCATTCTGCTACAGGAAGGCAACGCAGCAAGCAACACGCAGATACTTCTTTTTCGTAATTAAAAAATATTGGGCCCATTTCTTAAAACACCCCGTATAGTCACATATACTAAGAATTACAGTAGCACCCCCTTTGTCTGCCAGCCTAATTATAATTTCAGGGTTACTTCTAGCGCTTCAAGTGCCCCTTTTTGTTCGTAGGTTATGCCGATGGGGAGCGCGAGTTTTGTAAGAATCTATGACGTTATACAGCCCTGATATATAGGTGTAAGCACCGATCGCGTTGTGGCGGTGGGGTTTAGTGCTTCTGCTGAGGGAGTACCAGCCCGCTTCGACGGTCACTAGAATGATCGTAGAAATATCCTTTAAGGCGCATGTATGGGGCGGAGTTGTGAAAATCCTTAATAAGCTGAAATCGGTTTAACCCACCATTTGCTTGTCAAAAACTAAAGACCTTCGATAAACAAACAAACTATCTGCGCATCTGAAAGCATTTCCGAAGAAAGACTTATAACATTGTCTTGCAGTGCTCGTTCTCCGTTATCGGCTCAACCAGCTTTAACGGCTTGACGAAGGGAGCAAGTTGGCACGCACGCACTTTTTTTTTGCTTGATTGCATTTAGTTTTGCAAACTTATTGTGCTGCTAGGCTACCAAGTGATCAGATTCGAGTTGCGTTATCTTCGATAGCAGAAGTGCTTCTTTCTGAAACAGTTTAGCGCGTGATTTCTTGTGGTCTATAACAATACGCGTCAAATTCAGTGAAGCGTTTTGTAAAACTTGTTGCCATCTCGCCTTGTGGTGAGCGGATAGCTCGGAAGTAGCTGTATTTAGTCCCATTTGTAACCTTTTGGGCACTTTGGACGAAGTCAGATATGTGTTGAACGTTGACGCATGAAGCTCAGCGTGAATGCTTTTGTCAGCTAGTTTTCTAGCATGTGAAAATGTATCGGAATATGCACATGGTGCAAGACAGAACAAGCCAAGATCAACGTCCTCATCCACAAGTTGTACAAGGTGGAACTTGGTCTACCCGAGTTCACTAGCACGCGCTGGCTGCTTCAGCTTGGACTTCACAACGCGCTCAGCAAAATAGCCGAGGCACAGTGCACTTCCAAACTGGAAAGACTATCGGGCACGACAGCAGGACGCCAGATCATGAAAAGTCTCGGCATCTGTTACCACACCAAACAAAGCCAGAAAGTCGCTGCTGCAGACGCGATCCGACAAACGCTAAGGGTTGACCCGATTCCACGGAACGTTCACCCGGAACACAACCGGGCCAGAAGAGAGGCCGGCGCAAGAGCTCTCCTGTGCACTTACGCCGACGAAATGTGAACGCAGTTCTTGACGCCGCTGAATACGCAGACCGCTTGCGATTAGAAATCACAGTCGTCAATTGGAAAGGCAAAACGAGAATATCGGCAAGTACTCGATGTGAGCACGCACAAGTAGCGGAGGAAATAGCGGTGGCGCTCGCGCTCACTGATTCGACATGCACACTACTGTTCTCTGCGACTCGAGAAGACAAGTGGTCAGAAACTTCGCCAAATGATGGATCTCGCAGTGAGCGGCCAAAGTCTTACGCATTAAAAATTTCATCAGGAGGTAGAGCTTCCAACCAGACTCCTATGGTTCCCGACTCACATGAGAGATGTATCGGAGACACGCTGTAACCTAAATGAGACGGCACATGCCAAGACGCACGAACTCGCAAACCGCGCCGGCGACCATCCTCTATGGGGAAACACCAAAGACTGTTTGACGACCTGTAGGGAAATTACCAAGGCCTTCTATACCTGGCCGGCCGAAAATTTCCTCCACCCAGCGAGAATGTGAACAGGATGCAGGCGGCGGCCCTACGACAGCTCCAGGCGCACATGTACCCCAACCTCTTACTGTTTAACAAACTATACTCAATATATATCCGACGAATATACGCAAGATATGTCGTATTGAGGATGCCAAATTAAATCAGATGCTCTAGAATTCTACCGAAAATTCACAAGGTGCTAAATCCAGAACCCTTCTACCACGGAGGGCCACTGCCTTGTGTAGACCCAGCCTCGGCGACCAACTCCGGGCCGTCCGGTAGGCCCACGAGGTGGCGGTCAGGCAAGGTCCTTAAGTCCTCACGCAGGAGACCTAAGGCCCGGTTGGCGAAAGCTCTGCCGGACTTCCAATAACGTCGTTACCAACCGACAAGTATACCTCGAGAATCGACGTTCTGCGAAGCATGGGGAGGGAAAATGGCCATGTTGTAATTATTTTATTGAGCGACGTCATGAAATGACGCTAAATATATGTATAAATGTTGCACACGCAGACATATGCTGAACAGTTCTAGATGTTTGTACACGCAGTTGTGTGCGCTTTCGCCACGATGTCAACAGGGAGATAAGTATTATAGCAACCCCAGTAGCGATAAGCTAATATGAAACGCTGGTGCTCACGAGCATGGTAGCCCTGGACACTGTTACATCAATTAACTCCCGCGCATATGGTAGCTAACCATAGACATATCAGCCAGGGGGCAACGGGGGCCCCAGCCCCCCCCCTTCTAAGAAGTGGTAGGGGGGTTGAGCCCCCCCCCCCTACCTTTCGACAGTG